AGGATCAGTTCATTTAACCAAACGATGTCGTTTGGTTTAATGTTGGGGTCGGGCTGAATTGGGTCGACGGGTCGGGCAGGGATTACGGGTAAGGTCGAAACTCCAGGAGCCCTTGGATCAGAAACAATGAACGGTCCTGATCAAATATGATCATACGTCGTCGTTTGGTTTAATGAAAGAGCTGAACTGGGTCGTTAGATCAATTTGATCAACGGTTCAGATAAACATACCAATACGGTGTCGTTGATTGTCTGGGACTCACCTGAATGGGTACCATCAAAACGACGTAGCTTATGCCCTATACTACGTCGTTTGATGTCTTTTGGGTTGACAGATCTGGGCTGGGTAAGTACATCGTTTTGGGCCTGATATCTTTTAATTAAATGGCCCAGCCCGTTTTTTCTATTATTTTCTCACTCTTTTCATTTTCTAATTTTATTCCTAATTATTAAATTCCTAATTTTAATTATAAAAAATCTAAGTTACCCTTAAAAATATTAATTACCTTTTAACAACCATTAACATACAAGGCAAGACATTAAACACACAATGACACATTTAAATTACAAAAAATAGAATAAATGCATATTTTTTGTGATTTTCCTTTTTTAATTATCTCTTAAATGCATAATTAAATCCTAGATATGCATGCAACATGTATTTATATTTTATTTTCGTTTAATTATAACAAAGCAAACATTTACGGACAAAACACAAATAATTAATAAATGCCACATAAAATCTAAAAATTGCACACTAAGAGAATTTTGTTTTATTTTTTGATTTATTTTGGAGTAGTTTTCGTGAGGCAAAAATCACGTGCTCACATTAGTGTCTGAGCAGGTCTTATCTCGAGGCACATGGTTCGAGACAACCAAAAGAAGTATAAATCAAGAATAAAAGAAAAAGAAAAAGTGAATCCAAAATGCAGAAGCAGATGAAAAATGTGGACTGCTCAAGACATGACTGAAATCACGAGAATTGCATTTTCCTATTTTGATCAAAATAAGCCGTAAAAGAATGAACTAGCACGTGCAGCTAGCAAGCATCAAGGATCAGATCAGAGTTTGCGTGAAGAACCAATCAAGACACAAGATCAAGTTTTAGAATACTTATAGATAGGATCTTGTATTTTTCTTTTCTTTATTGTAATTTTCTTTTATTTTTGATGTAATAAATAAGGTCGCGGACCAGAGCCTCGACGGAACCTCACCCGACTCCTCAACTCACCATTCCAACCTTTTTCTTGAACTGCAAGCGATCTGATTCCCTTATAACCCAGGATATATAGGCCGTCCAAATCAGGACTCAGTTGCACTCTTCGTCTTTTATATCTCCAATTTCAAATAAGGGTATGGCCAAAAATTAGTTATATCGCTAATCTTTTCTTTGCCTGAAAACTCTTCATGTTTTCAAGCAAAGAGGGGCATGTTGTGAGCATCTAATTTTTGACCATGTTTGAATTTTTCTTTCCAACTCGCTCACGTTATATAGCACATACATTACCACCAACACAATTATTCCCAGATAATACCCCATGATTTCCCTCATCTTCCCACTCCTACTCTTTACAACTCACATTCCCACTCATAACCCCTTTCCCTTATTTCCTCACAGCACACACCCACTTTTTTTGGTTCCCTACGCCTGTCCCCCATTCAATTACCCAACTTTCTCCACTCATCCCACCTTTCACGCCCCTTCTCCATTTTCTCCACTGACATTCCCAATATCCTCCTCCATCATCTGCACACACATAAAAAAATAACAACGCCATTATAGAGGTAGGGACAGACTCCATTCCCATATAAAAAGAGAGAGAACGCGAGAAAAAAAGGGGAAGAATGAGCAGCCAAACCAACTGCAAATTTGCTAAAAACTTGTCCGAAAACCTAGAAAAGTTGTCCCAAAATCAGCATCAAAAACCCGACAAAACACCGTCTAAAACCAGCCACAAACATCCATCAAAACGACCCATTTTACATCAGAACCAGTTGTCCAAATCTAGTCGAGTCGGTATAGTTTTCATCGAGATCATGGTTTGAGGTCACCGTTGAGGTTATGATCGATTGGCTCTGTTGCGTTTAAAGAACTATTTATTGATAGCACTATTTGCTTGCTGATTCCTACTGGCTTTATTGGTTAAAACTTGTAAAGAGCCTTATGAGTTGGACTTTGAATTTTCTTTGTGCAAAGTTTTTGCATCAGGTATTCCTCTTTACCTTTAATAGTGTAAATCTTGGAATGAAGTTTATGGAATATGAGTTTATTTTAGCTATATGAACCTGTCCGTATTATCTGAAATATGGTTTAAGTTGATTGGTACCAAGAATGAATACTTGGATATTAGAGTTCATTCGTACGTAGTTCATAAACTTTAAAAATAATTTTTTTTGTGTAAATAACAAATCTGTGATGTTGTGCTTTTATTTATCTTCCCGAAGTTCCAAGATATAACAAAATGTGTTAGAAGTTTCTGGCAATGTTCTTTAGGTATTTTTGTGTTAATAAACTTTGAAGAGGGATGTTAAAATTATCTGACTAGGCAACAGGCTTGTTTTATTCTTTGTTTTTCATTAATATGCTAAGAGCAGATTGAGCAAAAGAAAAAAAAATTGTTGTATTTGTTTGGAACTATAAAACTTATAGTTTAAATAGAAAATTGGTTTTAAAGTCCATAAATTGTAGTAAATCCGTCTTTAAGTCTTCATGTTAGAATAGAGTTCTTTAGGAATTTAAAGTAAAAGTTTTACAATATGTATTTCTCATTAAGTAGCAATGTTTTCCTTTTTGTTTTTTTTAAATTACCAATAGAAATGAAATCAAGTATATTCTTTAGGCTCTTGAAGCTAGATGCCATGAATAATTTTAGAGGAATACTTTATTAAGTTGACTGAGAAAAAAAAAGGTTCTTTTGTAAGGATATTTCTAATTGTTTAAAAGAGATGGTGGATCCGTTATTTAGTTATTGATTTTGATGGTCTAAATCCAATTATGTCTAAGTTTTGATTAAACTCGTCATCTGTTGTTGCAGAGAATTTACAGAAAAGAAAAATAACAAATGGGTTACTACTAAAACTGTATTTTTGGGTTTTATTTTGTTGAATAAAAATAGGAATTAGACCAAAAGTAATTACTAAGCTCACTTCTGTAATAAACAAAGTTGTTCCATTCCTTCCTTAAAAAAATGGGAAAAGAAATGAAAGTCGGCCCAAAGTGTCAAAATCGACAAAGGCTTTTAGTGATTTTTTTTAGTAAAATTAGTTTAATTCCCTAGGCAATTTTATGCGCGTCCTCAAGTATTGACCAAGTGTTCATGTACGATCCTTGATTAATATCAAATAATAAATGGTCATGTGTGCATCTCCACTCATTGACTCGTCAATAATAAATTGTATTTGACCATGTGTTCATACCCGCTCCTTGGCTAAATGCACGTCATCAAATAAAAACCTTGTGTGCTTACACGCTCCTAGGCACCTGTTAATAAAATTTAATTATCTATTAAGCGATACTAGACAATAATAATTTAAGGCAAATAAATCACAGTTTATCCAGAATTAATTCAAGCCAAGTTTAAGTCAATAAAGCGACCGTGCTAGAACCACGGGACTTGGGGAATGCCTTACACCTTCTCCCTGATCAACAGAATTCCTTACCCGAACTTTGTTTTCGCAGACCAACATAAAAAGAGTTAAATCTTCCTTTGAATAGGGATTTCAAATAAAATGTGATTTGGAACACCCAAAAAATCAAATTCTAAGTGGTGACTCTGTAAATAAAATAATCCCTACTCAAATTTGTCACTTTAAATTGGAAAAAACTTTTTAATCCACGATCCATAACTTTTTATGTTATATTTTGGAGGGGTAAACAGGGCGTGTGACAGTAATGACTGTTGTTGTAGTTTCTTACTTTTCATTTCATGTTCGTTTAACTTAAAAATTGTAGAAAATCAAATACTACTATTAGCGGAAGAACGAAGACAAATGTGTGATACATTCGTGTATCTAATATATAATTAAACTAAGAGTCATGTATTAAAAGCACATCACCACACAAAAGTACAAATTTCTTTAAATTTCTTTTACCAAAAAAAAAAAAAACTGATAACGTAAAATGCAATTGACGAAGCTCAAATTCTAATAAGAATTATATATTTGTGACTTGATCAATATATAGACATATTTCACATGTGTTTATAATTAAATAAGAAATTATTATTTCTATTTGGATTGAATTTATAAAAAAGATTATTAAATCCAACAGAATTTATAAAAGCGCGCTTCTCTACTATATTTAATGATTATAATTTAGTAACTCATATTGTAATGACTAATTGGTATCTTACTAGTTACCACTCATGAATATAATGGAATTCATGATTTCTTTCATTTTTTTAAATAACAAAAGAATATATAAGAGTTTAGTAAATATTTCTATAATAAATAGAAAAAAAAAAAAGTAAAAGACAATAGTTTTTACAAGTGTTCTTCAGCTGGGAAGCAATGAAATACGGAAACATTACCACAAGTATTACACTTAACAACTCCACTATTCTGTGAAAGTGTGTTCTCGATTCAACGTGCAAGACCAGTATATCCCTTGAAAAATAAAAGAGAATTTGAAAAGTCATCTTACAATTATTATTTCTTAAAAATTGGAAAGTGTAATTACTTGCGTCCAATTCCCTGTTCCAAACATGGTCTAAATTTATATGAATTCGGAGCAAATAATGACAAAATCCCTCGGCAAATTTAACCTCCTTCCAAACATTGGGTAGTCCAAATTTTCCAATCCTTATATAGTTGGCCTTAAGTTAACCAAAACAAAGATACTTTCGGACGGCTGGGAGTATCTTTTCTCCGTTTTAGCGGTTGCCTTTTTAACAGCACAAACTTCACTCTCCATTATCATCATTTTCATGGCAGCTTCTGTTCCACTTCTTCAATTCCCAACTCACTCCCTTCACAAAACGACACTTTCCAGATTCAGACCCACTACTTCTCCTAAGTTCAATGGTATCATCATTAAGCTATTCCATTTTCCCTTTTTTAGGTAGAAAAATCATTAATATGTTATTTTTCCCTCTTATTAGGGAATTATGGGTATTGCTGCACAATTAGGTGTAGTTCTTCAAATGGAAGAGAGCCAGAGTCGGTAAACGAGGGAGTTAAGACTGTGGAGAAGCTTCTAGAAGAAAAACGGAGAGCTGAATTATCTGCTCGTATTGCTTCTGGCGAGTTCACTGTTGAACAAACTGGGTATCTTCACTTACACTTCTGAAAGAATTTCTTTTTTGTCTTTTTCTCTGCTTTACTGTAGTGGATAATCTTTGTATGGTTTATAGTGGTTTTGCATATCCTTTAAACAATTTTTCACTTTATATTTAAACTTCTGAAATCAAATCTAATAATGAGAACATCCTCGAGTAATTAAAAAAGAGTTAGCTCGGTGCACTAAGCTACCGCTATGCGTGGATCCAGCGAAGGTCTGGACCACATTGGGTTGTTATGTATGCAGTCTTACCTTAAATTTTTTAGGAGGCTAGTTCCGACCTCCTGGATGGTGGCACACTCCCCGAGTAATTAGTGTATTGGAGGTGATCCAGGAGAATGGGAAGATCGACGAGGATGTCACACAACGTATAAAGGTGGGATGGATGAAATGGAGGTTAGCATCTGGAGTCCTGTGTGACAAGAAAGTGACATTGATACTCAAAGGTAAGTTTTAGAGAGCGATAGTTAGACCGGCCATGTTGTATGAGGTTGAGTGTTAGCCGGTTAATAACTCACATATACAGAAGATGAAAGTAACAGAAATGAGGATGTTGAGGTGGATGTGCGGGCACACTAGGATGGATAAGATTAGGAATGAAGATATTCGAGAGAAGGTGGGTGTGGCTCCTATAGAAGACAAGATGCGGGAAGCGGGCTCAGATGGTTTGGGCATGTGCGGAGGTGAAGCCCTGGTATCCCAGTAAGAAGGTGTGAGCGGTTGGCTTTGGCGGGTACGAGAAAAGGTAGAGTATGGCCTAAGAAGTATTGGGGAGAGGTGATCAGGCATGACATGGTGTGACTTCAGATTTTCGAGGAGATGGCCATTGATGGGAATGTGTAGAGGTTGAGCATTAGGATTGTAGGTTAGGAGGTAGTTGAGCATTTTTCTACTTCGTACCGGGTATGAGGCTAGTCTGATAGGGTTTGTCTTAGACTGCTAGCGGTCAATATTGTGTTCACACTGTTCTTCCATTTTTTATAACCGAGCCTTCTTTACTGGTTATTGTTATTGGATTTTATCTATTTTTCGGTTCTTATGATATTGTTATTATTTCTATCTGTTGATAGTACTGATATATTGTCTCTTTTCCTCTTTTTCGTTTTCTTGAGCCGAGAGTCTATCGGAAATAGCCTCTCTACTCCATCGGGGTAGGGGTAAGGTCTGCGTACATACTACCCTCCCCAGACCCCGCACCTGTGAGATTTTACTGGGTTGTTGTTGTAAAGGACGTACATTTTGAATTTAAAGCATGAGGAAGCTCTTTCAACCAATGCTGTATAATGTAAATTTTAGTGGTAGTTTATCCTCATTTGGAATTTTACCCTTTGTTTGGAAAGAAGGGAAGGGTAGAAAAAGGAAGGGAAATTGTGAGAAAGCGGAAAAGTTATTGTTCTTTTTGTCTGAATAGAAAAGAAAGTTCGGATAGAAGGCAATAGGTAGATCGACGAGGATATTATATTGTATTGGAGCGGGGTGGATGAAATGGAAGCTAGCATCTAGTGTCTTGTGTGATAAGAACATGCCACCAAGACTTAAAGGTAGGTTTTACATAGTGGTGGTTAGATCGACTATGTTCTATTGGATGGAATGTTGGCCAGTCAAGAATTCTCATATGTAGAAGATGAAAGTGGCAGAGATGAGGATGCTGAGATGATGTATGGGCACACTAGGATTGATATGGTTAGAAATGAAGATATCCGGGCAAAGATAGGCGTGGCCTCAGTGGTGGACAAGTTGCGGGAAACAAGATTGAGATGGTCCGGGCATGTAGAGAGGAGATGTCCGGATGCCCCAGTGAGGAGATGTAAGAGATTGATTATGGTGGGTTTGAGGAGAGGTCGAGGTAGGCCGAAGAAGTATTGGGAAAAAGTCATTAGACAAGACATGGTGCATCTTCATTTTACCGAGGACATGATCCTTGATAGGAGAGTATGGAGGTCGAGAATCAGGGTAGAAGCATAGTAAGGAGTCGAGTGTCTTTCATTTCATCCCAGTAGTGACAGTGTTATTCTCGTACTCCCATATTGTTAGATTTCTATTACTATCTACAATGTTGTGTTTCGATTTTACTATTATCTTGCTGTTGTTACTGCTTCTTTGACTTTTTCACTACTGCAAATCTTTTTTTTATACTGTTGTGATTATGCATGCTTGCTTTGAGCAGAGGGTTAACCGGTAATAGCCTCTCTACCTGCACAAGGTAGGGGTAAGCATGCGTACTCTATACTCTCCCCAGGCCGCACTAGTGGGATTACACCGGATATGTTGTTGTTGTTGTTGTATTCCTCGTGAACTTAAACTATCTACTTGATTTGATGCGTTCTTTTGACGCAACATATTTCTATTTCTAACATGAATAATAGGCAATTGAAGTTAATGGTTTCTTCTGTTGTTAAATTTAAGCTCTTTTTCTTCTGTGGACTAGATTCCCATCACTGGTCAAAAATGGTTTGTCTAAATTGGGTGTGCCTAAGGAGTTCTTCCAGTTCTTCTCTCAATGGCTGGGTGATTATCCTCGCATTCCAGAGGCAAAAGGATCTATTAGTGCTGTTCGGAATGAAGCTTTCTTCATCCCACTTTATGAGCTTTTCCTTACTTATGGTGGAATTTTTCGTTTGACCTTCGGTCCCAAGGTTTGTTCATTTTCATGAAGATATACTTTTTTTTCTTCAGCAGTGCATTTAAAAATCAATTGAAAGCTTAAAGGTAAATTTGACCTCCTCTGAATGATTGTTTGATGATTTGACCTTATTGTGCAGTCTTTCTTAATAGTTTCTGATCCTTCAATAGCCAAACACATTCTGAAAGATAATTCAAAGGCTTATTCTAAGGTAAAGCAGCTTGCAACCTGTATCTATTAGTTTGTCGAAAAGTGAAAGTGAAGGAAAGAATAATCAACTCACAATTCCTAAGATGATTTCTTCTGCCTTCTCCACATCCAGGGTATCCTAGCTGAAATATTGGACTTTGTGATGGGAAAGGGACTTATACCTGCAGATGGAGAAATTTGGCGCGTCAGGCGGCGCGCTATTGTACCAGCATTGCATCAAAAGGTAAATATGCAATTGTACTGCTTCTTGTGGCTTACTTATTGTATTACTATTTGTTAATGTTAGTTGATCTCCTACTGATATCTGTTGAGCTAATTCAATTTTTTTAAGTTATCTATTCATCTATTTGTGTAGTATTAAGAAGGACAAATCCTTCTAAAATTTTACTTTTGTTATCATTTTCCATTGCTGATTGTAGTATGTAGCAGCTATGATTGGCTTATTTGGTCAAGCAACCGACAGGTTGTGCAAAAAGCTTGATGCTGCTGCATCTGATGGAGAAGACGTTGAGATGGAATCACTATTTTCCCGTCTAACATTAGACATCATTGGCAAAGCTGTATTTAATTATGATTTCGACTCGTTAACAGTAGACACTGGTATTGTGGAGGTACAACGTTTTTCTTAAGTTATTTTATTTGTTTAGTCTATTTTGTTGCAGCTATTGCTAGTTTTACTTATTGTTAAAAGCCATGATCGTGCCTGCGCTTGTGATTCTTTGTCTTGTTCAGGCTGTATATACAGTGCTTAGAGAAGCAGAAGATCGCAGTGTTGCACCTATTCCAGTTTGGGAGATACCTATCTGGAAAGATATCTCTCCTAAGCTAAAAAAGGTCAACACAGCTCTAAAGTTGATTAATGACACCTTGGATGATTTGATTGCTCTATGTAAGGTAATATAGTTATTTGGTTCAGAGATCAATCGGAACTACTTGCTTTACAAACTTTATTGTTGTTTGGATGATAAAAATAACCAGTTAGTTTGTACGTAGACTTGAGATGAAGCATTATGCAGACCTCTAGAAAAGGGCATTTTCCGTAAAAGAAACCCCTAGCCTTTTGCTGTTTTTGGAAAAAAAACTTTTGAACCGCGTCAATGAAATTGCAAGTCGCAGAGGTTCATGCAATTCCACAACCCAAGTATTGGACTGGTAGAACGTTTGAATGTGAGATGAGAAAAAAAATATTACAAGTATTGTACAAATTATCTATAACAGCTCCTAGATATTGGACTTGTCTAAAACATTCTCCCAATGTCTTCTCTTATTTTCTCACATGGTACGATCTTGGTAATGACTTACTACAGCTGCTCCATCGGCCAAAATTTTCATTCTTCTTCCTAGTTTCACTATTCCAATCTCTTTTCAGTGTTCGTTCTGGCCACTCCATGACTCTTTCCAATGGCTGTTCCGGTGCCACGACATCTCTTTCTGTCACTGTTTCGTTCTCCACATTGGATTTGAAGCAGTGTGTTAGGATATTAGATGTATTGTCCAATAATAGAAGAAAGTATTATGCTACTTGTAGAACCCATTAGGAAACTCCTATGTGTAAGTTATTCTATCACACCAGGTACAAAGCATGAGAACAGATCGCATATGTCAAAAGTGGTTAGATTGGAACAGGATCATCCTAGGATCAGTAAGGATCTAATAGGATCACAAGTGGAATTCTGAGATCCTAACAATCCTAGTACCGCAAATTTATGAGTTTTTTCTCCTTTCGCTGTTTCTTCGTAACTTCTAGTAGCGTTTATGTTATAAATTTCAAAAAAAAAAAAAATTACCTTAGTAATAATTAAAGACAATAACATGCTTGAATATGGCAGGAGTTAGTATGATTCAGGATGAAATCTCAGCAGATACAAACTAATAATCAACAAAAAGTGGTAATCTGATATGGGAAAGATTCTGTGAACGTGTCCTATAACTGAAATAGCATAGTGGCTTTATTGAAGTGGATGTGTGGGTTTTTTCTAGACCTATACATCTCTGTGGACTGAGACTTGGACAGAGTGGTCCCCTTTCTAATACTGCAAAGCTCCATGGCTAGTTTGTTATATCTTCTTAACTGACCTGCAGTATGATCCAAAGGCTTTGTCTAATTGATGTCTTCTCAATTTTGTTTGAGAATAGCTTGTCCAACTATTCCCAGTAAGATGTATGATCTTAGCAAAAAAAGATGTATTGTTCCTCTTCTAATAATAAGAAACAGTGATAGAGTCAAGAAATAAAGGTAAAGGGTGGTGGATTTGTGTCTTAGGTCACAGGTTCAAGCCCCCACACC